AAAAAAGATCGAAAGTTTATGAACATCACTAAATTTAACCACTAATTAAAATAATACACGTGACATTTTTAGTTTCGCCATATTTCAGACGTTTCGCCAGATTTCGGAAATTACGCCAGGTTTTGAAAGTTTCGGAATAGCCGAAACTGAAACCTAAAATAGGCGAAATGTTTTGCCAATCACAAAGAAGTTTCGCCCGAAACATTAATTGGCACGAGAGGTAGAGTTTGCACAAAAAGATGATTATTCTTCTAAGCCAGTCAGTCTGGAGCAGTGATCACCAGCTCAGAAGATTTTTTGCTAGACTACAATGCATAAACAGATCTACGTAATGATTAACTTTATTTTTTCGATTGAAGATATTCTAACCATATAAAAAAAAATGCATACAGCTAATTTGCTTCCGCCTGAATTAATACTATTTATTCTAAAGTATCTTCCATACCAGAACCTAAAAAATTGTTATATAAATGATATATGGGAAAAAGAGGTAAGTCCTTCCTTCAATCAAAGATCTTTGGAATGTCTAGCTTTCGATTTTTTATATGCGTGTTTTTTTTTTCTTTCACTGATCATGAACGTAGTAAATTATTGGAACTTTATTTGAAACTAATAGAGTACAACAAAAGCGTGGACTATAATGAAGAACTCAAATGGCTATTCTTCAGAGGATTATCAACTGAGAATATGTTTAAAGTTGATATAGGTTGGTTAGAAGAACTTGCGTTGGATGAATTAGTAGAAAGTCTTAGTCTAGAGTAATGATCACTGAAGAATTTGCTGAGCCACAATGCATGTACTCCTGTGTGACAAAAAATATGGCCATATTAATTTTCGCATATATGCTAACCAGTACTTCTATTTTTTTCCTAAATAAATAAGTGAAAATGTAAAAGGTGGTCTACATGCAACACAGGACCTTCTCTATAAGTAAATAGTGACGATAAAAGCATATGATATAAAAGGTTGAGAACTTCGCAATTTCGAGATCGTCAGGCGTAAAACTAACTATATGTCTTTCTGGTAGATCTACATGTGAAAAGGTATGAAGATTCTGTACTCATGTGCTTTCATAGAACTCTTAGCATTATACGACAATGCTAATTACTATTTTTTATCTCCTTATCTTTTTCCTTTATAACAGCAAGATATAAAGCATGTAGAAGTATGTAGAAGTTCAGCCAAATTTTCGCAAAAATCATTCCTGTAAAAATAATGCAAAAATAGGTATGTATATGCTAGAAGTTATGTATGTATGGAAGTGAAAATTTTTTACTATGGGCTCTTGTATTTAGAAAAGCAAGATGTCTTCTACCTCCACTATAGCTAACAAGTTAAAAAGATGGGATACCGAAAGACTTATTAGTTTTTTGCGGGAGGATTCCAAATCAGAAGGCTTAGAACTTGACGATAACTTTTTTATGAAACTTTATGATGAAAAAAGCACCAGTCATTTATTTCTTAAGCTAACCGGATGGGAATTTAAGGAATACAGAATGATATTAAGACAAGCATTAGAGCTTGAGGACTACATTAAGAAGTTGTGTGAGTAATTTAGCCAATGTAGCTTTGCATAACGTTATAGCTGAAATCTAATGAGCGTTGTTCTTACTATCATTATCTTTGGTAACAAACAAATGAAAAGCAGGAGTAGATTTAGGAGATGTTCTCGTTAAAAAATAGTATTTTTATTCGCATCATGTAAAGTGAAATATTTGCAATTTTTATGTATGATTGTCTGCTTCCTGACGATGTTTATTTCATAAATAAAGTATTATTTTACCGGTACATGAGAAAGCTGATCACATGTAATAAAACAATGCCTGTGTGACATAAAAATGCTCAGCCCTTTCACAGAATAATTTTTTATTTCACTCTGGAAAGTAACACTATTTTTTTGTTTGAGCTCAATATTCCTATAAAAACGTAACACTATGTCTGAAACTAGTACTTCAGCTTTCACCTCCATTACTGTTGCTGGAAATGAGACGGTCACACTAGTGGATGATGTAAAAAATATAAAACAAAGGAGCTTATCGATTTCTTGAAGAGTCAGGACTTGGAGCTTAGTAAGACGACTATCAAAATTTTAGAGATACAAGATGTTAATGGACGTGACTTCTTTGACTTGATCCAGAAAGAGCTTGAAAGGTGGGAATGCCTGGTGGGCCAGCAAAAAGACTTGTAAAGTTTGCTAAGGAGTGCAAGGAGAAAAAGTTGAGGTCGTTCTCCTCCTACAAGACTAAGAAAGTATTGAGTGAGGTGTTGTGCAAGTATGGAATCGATAGCAGTGAAATAACAAAAATTTCGCTTTTTGAGCCAGAGCCTATGGAAATTGATGATGAAGACGAGGAGCTGAAGCAGTGTATAACAGAGATAAATGCAGGATGGGAATTATAGGTTTAGCAACGAGCAGAAACGAGGCTGTGCATTGTGAGTATATTTTCCCAATATTATACGCATCAATCTATATTGTCAAAAGAATCACTAAGAAAGGAATTACCATGGATCTCCAGTTTGAAGTTGTAGGCGAAGAAGCATCTAGCTGAGTTGATTATGCAATCAAGAAAGTCATAGATGTCATCAATGAGGAATTGATAGCCATAACAGAGGGAAAACAAAAGGATTTGGTGGTGAGATTCATGCAGAACATAATGCAACTCGAAAGCTCTTACCATATAAACATGAGAAAAGGAAAGCATCTGTGACATTTAATGATGAGTTTGACTATCTCTATGGGATCGTGACTACAGGTAGAGCTTTTCAGTCCTTTCTGTGATTTTTTTATCCATAATTTATATATACTAACTCGTGTCTCTGAGTATCTTTCTTTGTTTAGCCTCAGACTAGTATTTCCTTATATACACACTAAAAAGGATCTATTGCTCGAAAGATGACTATCACATAGTACTTAACGAGAAAATAATGAAAGATGATGCGAAACTTCGCCATGGTGTTAAAAAGGTTATAGGAGTAATCGTTGGCTTGTTGAAGGATAGGGTCGAAGTTAATGACTCTCCAGATAGTAAGAGAGCAAGGACGAAAAAATTTATTAAGGAATAATCATATATAATAGTCCGTCACTATTAGCATAGAAAAATTTATGTATCCTGGGCTATATCCCGAAGATTTGTATTTAATTTTCAAATGTAATAATAAAAAAATTCTTGGCAAATTTTGCTGACCTCAGGTCAGGAAAATCACATGATATTTTTTATTTTGAATGCTTATATACAGTGTATTAGTTATACATATAGATCATGTCATCTGAGCTTGAAGTATTGAAACAGCGCATCACTGAGCTTGAGGCTGAGAATGTTGAGATTGCAGAGCTCAAGAAGGAGAATGTAAAACTTAGAAAGGAGAATACTGATTTTAGAATAAAGTTCGTTAACTTTGAGGCTGAGAGAACTGAACTTAAACGCAGGATTGCTGAGACTCTAAGAATGACTGAGGAAGAGAGAACGAGATGTGTTGCTGAGAATGCCAAACTCAAGGTCAGAATCGAGGAGTTGGAATCTGAGTTTAGAGATAGAATCACGAAAGTGGAACAGAAGCAGACTCTAAATGAGCCTAAAGGTGCTTCGCATAATTCTTCTAACAACAATTCATCTAACTTCAATTTGGTTGCAGTACCAGAGGCGATAACAGTACCTACTAACTCTGTGAAATGCCTTAACAGCAAATCATTAGAAGAGATAGATAATTTTTTGCTTGAGGCTCATAAGAAAATCGTTAGTAGTGAAATAAAACAACGTAATAAGGAAAAGAAATTTCTACATGAGTCAACTAAAAATCAAGTCCAGAACGTTACTTCTGACGATGTAGAAATCATTAACAATTCAAAATTATTATGTGACAAAAAAACCGTTACCATTGGTAACGATTAAGATTTGGAATTATCTCTTGACATAAGCGATGATATCTCTGCTTTATCATTCATTGAGGACAACTTATCATACGACACAAAATGATCACTTGTACTGATAGCGAGGATGCTTCATCTGATAAAATGTTTAGGCTGATTGCTACATAACCGCTCAACAGAGACCCAGAATTATTCCATTTTTATAATTAATGAATAAAATGGAATTTTTGTTGTATAATGGAATAAAACGGAATTTTTATGAATTTTAAATAATTTTATTCTAACACGTGATAACTAACTAATCGTTATTGCAGTATTATTGAATTTATCGTGATGGAATTTGTAAGAATTCCATAGTAACTGGTAAATATCAATCATTTTATTTAGCCAAAATTATTGTCATGTCACTATCGCAACTTAGATCAGCCTGCATTAAGATGTGAGCTGGCTAGAATTATCAAATGTTTCTTACTATAATTGGTAATTTTTATCAGAATAAAATCAGAATTTTTTTCATTATTGTGATAAAAATTTGTGATTTGATATCGGAAAAATTTTGGGTCTCTGCCGCTCGATAGAAATCAAGTTACAAAACAAATTTTAAAGCATGATCTTTCTAGACCTATTTCTTCAGTGTCATCAGTTGAACCGCATGATGAGTCTATTTTAAACAATGCGATTGAGGGTTTTATGTAGAGATTAGCTTATTAGATTGATAAGGCTATAAGAGTAGATCTAAAAGAAATCTTATATTTGTATCATTATTCCTTTGAGTTCAAAAAAAAGTAAAAAATATCACAGCTGATGGCAAAACTAAAGATAAGACAGTAAGATCAATAATATACAAAGATATGTTGTAGTATTTACCTAATGTCACACTGGGTAATTTGCGAATCTGAACACATAGAGCTAAAAATATTCTTATGCTATTTGAAGAAAAAGGGGTTGGAATCGATAAAATTAGGTTAGTCACTTGTAATGCAAGTGATATTTCTAGATTAAACAATATCTAAATTCAAAACATTATAGATTATATGAATGATCAAGGTTTATGTAATTTCGAAAACCGTTACCAATAGTAACGATCAGAGTCATATAACTGAAAATTTTGAGAATAGCGAAAAAATCTTGCCCATACCCTTGGGATCTACACCTCAAATCACTCTAGCTAAGACAGATGATAATGATCTCACAGATCTTAAGGAGGAAGATTTCTATGGCGGTGAGGTGTTAATCGCAAATGTATTGTCTGCATCTCAATCTTATGATCGCTCCTATTTTCGCAACAAAACATTAGATCAATATCCTAATCTATATAGAGAATTTAGTACAGTCACACCTCGATATAACGAAGTTGCTGATCCAGCCGATCAGGACTTCGTTATAAGAATCTTCGTTAAC